GGGGCGTGGGGGGAGGGGAGGTACTATGTTTCACAGTCGGCACAGGCCCAGGTCTAACGCGTGTATGTTTATCAGTTCTTAGGTGGCTAAGCTTCTCTCTTATAAAAAGCCAGTGAAATGACCTGGGTGAATATAATTAACATAGCTGGGATTCTTGTAACATACTGATTAATTTGAATATAAACATGCTATAATTTGCACTAGACAAAACAATTTTAGTACCGTAATCAAATTAGTACATGTGCACTCCAGCTTTGCACTAAGAAATCTATGTAAATCTACCCAAAAATACAGTTGAAAAACTTTTTTTATAAAATGTACTCCAGTACTGTACACTAATGTAAAACAATTTTTATCTCTTGAGCAAAATATATGACGTTAATATTCAAATTATTCGCTGTCTTGCAAGGATTCCAGCAATGCAAATTATAATCTCCTAACTTTAGTCTGAGATATTATATAAGATAAAAACTGTAAGCCTAAAAGCCTGGCTGGGGGAGGGGGACTGACGGCTCCGCCACCCAGCGAGGGGTTGGGGCGGGGGTGGGGGGGTTGAGGTGATAAGTTTGAGGCGAAGGTCTGTGTGTGTTTATTTAACAGTCCTACTAAGCTTCTCTCATTTTAAAATGCCAGTGATATGACCTAGGAATATATAATACATAACTGGGATTCTTGTAAGATACTGATTTATTTGAATATAAACATGCAATAATTTGCACTAGACAAAACAATTTTAGTACCGTAATCAAATTAGTACATGTGCACTCCAGCTTTGCACTAAGAAATCTATGTAAATCTACCCAAAAATACAGTTGAAAAACTTTTTCCAAAATGTACTACAGTATTGTACACTAATGTACTACATTTTTTATATCTTGAGCAAAATATATGACATTTATATTCAAATTAATCTCTGTCTTGCAAGGATTTCAGCAATGCTAATTATATTATACTAACTTTAGTCTGAGATATTATATAAAATAAACATAAAGAAATCACCAATCTTTTATCTTGAACACGAGGAGGGTGGTGGGAAGAGGGGGGGGAGGTGAGGTGACAGAATGTCTGGCGTTTGTTTGTTTCTTTATTTCAGATAAGATTCGACAGTTGGCGCTGAAGGCCTGCGTGTTTATTTATCATTACTTAAGAGTGACTAAGCTCTTCTCATAATTTTCCACCCAAGCGACCTGGGTGAATATAACTTACATTGAAGGGATTCTTGTAAGATAGTAATTTATTTGAATGTTTTTTTTTTTCAATTTAAATTTTAATTGTTTATTCCTTGATAGAGGAAGCGGGATCCTAGTGCTGTCACTTGGTACCCCTGTACCATAATACTGTGCAGTCAACCCTCACTTTACGTGGTCCCACATTCAGCGTTTCCACGGTGCCCTGCCAGAACCCAGGATGCTCACATTCCGCGGTGGGTGTACCCCTTTACGCGGGTGAAGTATAATTTTTTTATTTAGCTCATAAAATTCATACAAATTATCCGGCCAGAATATAATTTACATTGCTGGAATTCTTACAATATGATGATCATTTTGAATATAAACATCATAGATTTTGCATTAGACATACAAATTTTAGATATAATGTTTACTCTGAGTAAATATGTTATCTTTTGTGCAAAATATATGACATTTATATTCAAAATATTCCTGGTCTTACAAGGAATCCAGCAATGTCAATTATATTATCCTAACTTTAGTTTGAGGTATTATTTATTAAAATCTAGTGGTTTTCCCCCCAAAATTTCTCAGAGAGGGAAGAGCCAGCAGTGTAGTGTGAGAAGAGGGGGAGGGAGTTGAATCCATTATTTGAATGGACATTAACTTGGCGACTGTATTTCTCTTAAGTATTAATTGTGTGCATGTACCATCATAAAATTAAGATGTTATTTTTACTAGAACATAGGTATTGTGTCGGAAAAAGTAGAGTTTGGGGGTCGGGCCAGTCTCTATTGGAATTAATCCCATAGGTTCTGTTGTTCCATTTACGCGGATTTCACTTAACGCGGTACCCTGTGGGTTCAATTGACCTCGTAAATCGGGGTACTACTGTGTGTGTATATATATATATATATATATATATATATATATATATATATATATATATATATATATATATATATATATATATATATATATATATATATATATATATATATATATATATATATATATATATATATATATATATATATATCATTTTGTATTGTACTTATACTCACTGATGGGCGGAGTGTGTGGTGGGTAGTGGAGCGGAGGAGGAGGATGGCGGGAGCGGAAGAGTGGTGAGTCACTGAGACTCGGTGGGTGCCTCCTCCTCCTCCCGCTCTCACTGGGGTTCCTCGGCTGTTGCTTGCTGCTCCTCGCTTGCAGGCTGTTGCGAAGATGATGCTGCTGCTGCTGCTGTCGCCTTCCGGCGACGAAAAAAGAATCCATCGTTGACTGCTTAGTGCTGCTCCTCTTTTTGTCTTTGTAAATCTCATTGTAACAACCAAGACTGTGTCATCAATGTTGCGTTGAACCTTTGAGCTACATTCTCTGTTTGAGTCGTCATCAATGAAGATTTGCATATTTTGCTGGATCATGTTGAACGCTTCTGCCATCCTCTTGGTAGTTTGCGTTCGTTGTGTTATTTCTTCGTCGTCGTTGTCGTCGTCTTCAAGGAGACTGTGTTCTGTTAAATGTTGCAAATTTTCATTGGTGAGCTCAATATCTTCTGATTCCAGCTCATGAAAGCTTGCCTGTCTAGCCAAGCTGAGGATATCCCTATTCACTGCTGGGACTAAATCCGTGAATCCCGTAAAACTGTTGACGCACTCGGGACACAGTTCACGCCACACACCATTCAGGCAACTTTCTGAAACTTCTTCCCATGCCTTGCCAATGTTGTCAATTCCATGAAGATTGTTGAAGCCTCGCCAATATTCTCGGATCGTTGGTTTATTTTCTCCATCAGTAGCCTTTAGCAGTTGATCCATGGTATGCAGTAAATATACGCCTTGCATGCAGCGATGACGCCTTGGTCCATAGGCTGCGTCAGTGTTGTCGTGTTGGGAGGCAGGAATACAACTCAAACACTGTCATGTAAGCCGTCAATATTGGGAGGATGTGCTGGATCATTGTCGACGACAAGAAGAATTTTGAAGTTGAGGTTCTCCTTGGCACAGTATTCCTTCAGTGCAGGGACGGTGTACACGTTTAACCACTGGCTAAATATGGCGCCGGTTATCCATCCCTTCTTATTTGCCTTGTAGATAACAGGAAGGTGATCCTTAGAGTAACCTTTCAGGGGCCGTGGGTTGGCAGCGCGAGAAATTAGCAGAAGCTTCAGCTTGAAGTCGCCAGCAGTGTTCGCGCCAAGCAGCAGCGTCAAGCGGTCTTTTGCCTCTTTAAAGCCTGGTGCTCTTTTTTCTTCCTTTGAGATGTAGGTTCTATCTGGCATCCTCTTCCAAAAGAGACCAGTCTCATCCACATTTAAGACTTACTTCGCTGAGTAGCCTCATTCCTCGATAATGTTTTTGAATTTAGGCGGGAATATCTCGGCAGCAACCATATCTGAACTAGCAGCTTCACCAGTCATCTCTATGTTATGGAAGTTATAACGGTGCTAAAAACATTGAAACCATCCTCGGCTGGCCGTAAAGTTCTCTTCCTTTGATCCTTCACCCTCTACTGCCTTAAGTCGTCAAACAAGGATTTTGCTTTATGCTGGATTATCATAAGGCTCACAGAGGCATTGCATTGATTCTGGTCCTCCATCCACATTGCCAGCATCTTTTCAATCACGGAACTTCAAGTACGACTTGTCTTTGTTGCACTCAAAGAAGTACTACTTCCAACTCTAGCCTTAATCGTTTCCGTGTTGGTTCGCATAGTACGCACTGTTGTGGGGGTTAGACCAAGCAGAGCAGCAATGTCCACCAGAAGTTCCCCTTTCTCAAAATGGTTTAAAACTTCCATTTTCATAGCAAGGGTAATGGTCTTGCATTGCTTCTTCACAACACTAGCATCAGTAGTCTTGATGGGCACTTGGAAGCCATTTCGAATGGTTGGAGTATAGGATTAAGAGCAAAAACTCTAAAACACGTAAGAATGCTTTGGAAGCCTAACAAAGACTGGCATCGCTTGGGGACGCTGTGTGATGCTCCGCAAGTGAGAGGTAGCGCGCCAAGCTGAGAGAGCGTAGCACAGCAAGATGAGAGAGGGTGATGCGCTGTAAAAAGTAGTCCGTGACGACGCAAAAACCAAGTTATATTTAGTCGTTGGGACATTATCCGAATTGTTGGTATCTAAAGAGTAGCAACGTCATAACGAAACAACGTTAACGGGGGCAACGTTAAACAAGGACTTATTGTAATATATTTTTCAAATTACTATTTTCAGTGCAAATCCACCAGTTATCAAGATATTTATTTAATTATAAATCTATACACTACCTACTGGTAATTTGAGTGCTTACTTCATGTTTGACACAAGTGGTAGTGATGAGTATAGAATTGAATAAATCCTGTTTGGTCTTATTTACTCACAGTAAGAAGTTAACAATATGTAGTGTATAGTTTGATATTAAAATCTCCTAATATCTGGTGGGATTGTGTTGAAAAAAGTTATTCACAGAATACTGTATTTATATACCTGGAGGAAACATAAGTGTATTATGTTTAACACTTAAGTAAGCTCAGCTAAACTATGTCTAGCAAGTTCCAATACGCACCAACTGACCGTACGGTCAATAGTAAACAATCTTCCCGATATTGGACCCTACTGGTTGAATCCATTAATTACACCAGACAAAAAAAAAAAAAAATTACTTGATATATCTGGTAATGAAAAGTCTGTTATTGAGAGGGTTTACTGTATACCTGAACTCATTTACCGTGAAACAAGTACAAATGTGAAAAAGTAAAAAATGCTAATTATCTAAAATTAAACAAACCAACGAAAATGACAGAGAGAGAGACAAGCGTGGATGTGCCACTGCCAACTTACCATGAAGCAATAACAGGGAAGAGTGGTGTTAATACAAGATGTGTGAGGGTGAACCAGCCACAACCTAGTAATATACCCAAAAGTGCCCCCCACAGCACCTGACTCCATGAATGGTACAGCAGGTACACTCTGGAATAAAAAATTAACAAGCAACATTACAGATTTAGAAGGTTTTGAATTATATTTAAAAAATATTTCCAAGTTCAAACCTAAAATAATAATCCTCATTGTTTTCTTGAAACCTTTCAATTTACAAAAAACAATTATACATTTCAACAAGGTCCATAGTTGAAGGTTACTCATTTCACTTAACATTCTATGTGACAAATAGCTTCAAGTATTTCTACAATTTGGATTTCTTCTACCATATTCAATTTTAGATCTACAGTACAAGGTATTCTAGTTTTATTAGAAATTATTAAAATGTATCATAGAATTACTGTGAAAAGGAAAAGAAAAAATTGAAAGTGATGGATAGATACTTAAATCACATTTTACAATCAAGCCCAGATCAGGTGACTTACCATATTACTAACCAAGTCTACGGGGTTGGATACAACAGTTACAACTCAAGGATAACAATGAGTTTTATTACTACATTAACATGAGTGCTCCATGACCCTCTTTTAGGTAAGTTACAAACTGCTATTTCCTGGGTCAACCTTCAGCCCCAATCTATCTCAGTGTTACCCACTGGGAGAAGAGAAGGTAAATGAGTTGCCTGATTCAGGCTCTGGCACAGAATGGAATTTCAGGATCTATCCTCTATTTATAATCTTGGGCAACTTGTGTAACCTGAATCCAACCAGTCGAAGGAATGATGGTGATACTAATATGCTCCACACTCCACATGCTAATGTGACAAGTAATCAACAACTCGAGTTATTTTACAAAAAGAAACATTGTACTCCACAGGGCCATGTAGTCTAAAAGCAGTATTAGTTCATTCAAGTAGTAACTAACAGCTTTTAGCCAGTGATCAGGCACCTTATAAGACTGCAAGGACCTGCCTCTCAGGAAAATCATTGAAAACATAATACCCCTGAAGTTTTGTGCCTTTGGAATGGAGACCAGTAAAGTTGACAATGTTAGAGGTATAAGCTCCAGTTGCTCCATACTTTTACAAAAATTAATGCTGATTAATGTGATCTATAGTCCTAAGGCTGCAGCCGCACTGAGAGCAGGCAGGCGTGGAAGACTTTGCAGCATTGTAACCCATAGACGTGGCCGCACTGGCAGCGGACGCAAGCTGGATACAACGAGTGCCCACTCTCAGTGCGGCCTAAGGTAAGACTGGACAGCCATCAATGACAGTTCTTCAAGCTTGAAAACAAGTGTCATTTGGTAAAAAAAAAAAAAAAAAAAAAAGGCATCTCATTCTTAGACCACAATTTCAGACCCAGTCACACATTAGTCGAATCAGTGAAGGGTCAAGGAAATGAAAACTATGACCTCTCCTCGTTGCATAAAGCTCCGAAAACTTTCTCCCTGAAGGGAGGGATACAGGAAAGCCTCCGATAACGAGGGTTCTACTAACGACGATTCATATTGAAGTTCCTGGTTAATTTAGGACCCAATTCAATTTACACCATTATTTTCTTCGTATTTACGAAGAAAATAGAATATAAAAATTAAAAAAATTAAATTTTCATGTAAATAATAACTAAATCCCGATATGTATTATACAAATAAAAAAAACACGCCTTGCACATGGAGACTGCCAGGCTTGTGAGTGGTGACGCCAGCATCTCTAGTATAAACAGTCGCAGCTGACGGGCTCTTTGTTTTCACGCATCTGAACAGGAAAAGGAGAAAAACTTTCCCAGGTTTCTTATGGCATTTCTGCATCCCTATTCAACATGAGCAAGAGAGCAAGTGATGGTTCAAAAGCTAAAAGAAAGTGTATAAGCTTAGCCGAGAAACTAGATGTGTTAAAACGATATGAAAAAGGTGAGAGGTCTGTGGATATTATATGGAGCAAGCAATGAACATATTTTCTGAAGTGGATCCATTAACAGAATGAAGCATTAAAATTAATGGACATGAAAAATGCAAATGACCTCTACATAAAGATGTATAATGAGAAAAGAAAGCAGCTGTGCAAGGTTCTTTCGACAGCTTTACTATTTGAAGGCCTAAACCATCAACTTCAGCTACACCATCAAATTCAGCATCATAAGCAGCTTCATCAACAACTTCAGTTTCAGCAACAGCTTTATGGAAAGCTACAGCTTCAGCCAGAGTTGAACCTGATGACTTCATCATCTGAGTAAAAACTCGCACAATATTCATTGGCTGTCCTTATGTTTTAGACTTTACCACCAATTGAAAGTAGAATTTTTGTTTTACATTCGTAAGTATTATTTAAAACATATATGAACAGTAATAAGTGTTGCTTTCATATTCATATGTAGAGAAATGACGATATGTTTTCACATGTACACACTGACTGTTCATACGTTGGCGTTCCTAATCGTCTCGCTTTATTTCTTTACCATTAGTGGTTAGCTACTTCCAGTGTTCTATTTATTAACATTAAATAACATTATTTAAAGCATACATACAGGGATCCATTTTTTACATTAAGTTCACTACAGCTACAACCAGGGTCTCATTTTCTTCAATTTCTTACGTAGAACCATCGTCACTCACAAAAACAATGCCGTCTTGTCTCCTCGTGTTTTTTAATAGTCTACGTATTATTAATGAATTGCATTGTTCATTTTGCATATATAAACATTAATCCAATCAAATACATATTCAGTAATAAAAAATAATGAATCTTTTGTACATATTCTTAAGATAAATGACTCTAAGTTCCCTTGAATGTGCAAGTATACATTGGAGTTCCACTATCAGTCTTACTTTTTTCTTTAATATCAGTGGTTACTTCTACTGTACATTAAATAACATAAATTTAAACATACATACTTTTTACATTACCGGTAATTTTACAACAAAAACAACCAGGGTCTAATTTTCTTCAGTTTCAGATGGATAACTGACATTATGGGTGTAACACTGACAACAACAATGCCATCTCTTATCCACCACTGCTGCCACAGGGAAGTTTCTAGAGGGGTCAATATATAGTTTTTCTTACTTCTTTTTTATTGTTTTATTATTTAAAAAGGTTAAAAATTATTTTTGGAAAAGTTTATTTTTCTTGATTTGCCCCCTAGTAGGGGATATGGCCAGTGGCACCCTAGGCTGGGACGTAGGGGTTAAGGAAAATTTATGGTTTGTCAAGTTTTGTCAATTGAGCCTCGGCTTACCAGAATTATTCTTTGCATTGTGTTACATATGCAAAAAATAGAATAAATGCTTTCTTACTTTTGTAGCTTCTTTTCATAGCTTAATACACATGCTTGAAGATATCTAGTTTATACTTACAAATTGCTGTATATTTATATTCACAGATATATAAACTTCATTTACAAGTTTCAAAAGTCATCCCCCTCCTTCAGTCACAACAAATCTATGCCACAGATTGTAAAACTTAACCCAAAAACTTCTATGGAACCTATGAATCTTGAAACTGGTTTAAGAAATAGTACAGGGTTTTAAGTATTTCCACTCTTAGACCACACCAGCATATACCTTTATAAATCTCAGGTCAACACCCACATCTGGAATGAAAGGTGCAATCATGCTATACCCCAAGTTATGCATCATGAAAAACAAAAAACATTCTCCCTCGAAATAGTACTGGGATGCACATGGCACATATACTACTAACACACCCTCTAATCTCAAATTGAGTTGTTCTGCAACTGTAATCACTTTTGCAATGGTAACAATACCATTCACAATACAGTACAAGTACACCACCGATTTTCCGGCACCCTTGGTTCCAAAGCCTTGCTGAATTATCGTTTTGCCGGACCAACTGAGGTCAGGTAATAATAAATCAACAATACCGTATATCTCGGCCTACAAGGCGACGGGGTATAAGACGACCCCAAAAATGTCCATTTAAAAAGTAGCTTTTGAGCTCTATTCGCTGTATAAGACCGGTACCCCAAATATGACACCTACCATTGGGAGCTTACTGACCCAGTAGTCCTTTACCAACCATCCCATTGACCAGTGTTGTTTACACATCCATGGTTTTTTAAAATAAGGCCAATTCACTTCAAGTAATGGCATCAAATGTTACCGGTTGGTGTAGTGTAAACACTAGTGACTCACTTAAGCGTCTGTTATTTAACTGGAACTAATGTCGGTGTCGAGTAAAATTTTTCCATTTACTTGAAATGGATTTACCGATTTATTTGTTTATTTATTTATAACATACAGTACTGTAATATATTAAACACACTGCAAGTATTTTCTTTAATTTATAAGCTTGCTTCACGAGAGACAATCGGTGGTGGGACTGTTCCCACTGTTTACACCAGCTACAGTATTCTAATTCATTAGTGTTTCATTAGGATTTGAGTGAAAAAGATTACTGTACATACTTACTATATACATTTATTACACAAATATATATATATATATATATATATATATATATATATATATATATATATATATATATATATATATATTATATATTTAATATACTAATTCACAATATTTTATAATTGCAGTCATGTATACTGAATATTCTATGAAAAAAATATAAATTTTAAATGAATTATTTATAGTGTGGTCGACTTCCTACACAAAGACGGGCTATAAATAGCCGTCTTATCTCCCCTCCATCTCTTACCCTCTGTTCTCAGAGAGAAGGTCTTGGTAAATAACTTTTGTTTGTTTATTTTCATTGTTTGTCTAATTCAGTGGTTCTCAACCTTGTTTGCCCCATGCACCCCTTTCACCATATGTCAGAATGTCATTCCCCCCTCCTTTCCAAGATTGTCTGCCTCAAAAAGTGCATTCCAAATAATATGCATATAATACTGAAAATCCTTTATTTTTTCCATATTAGTACAATTCCCCCCCTGGGGGTAATTCCCCCCTGGTTGAGAACCCCTGGTCTAATTTATCATGTTGTATCAAAGTAATATTACCAAACAGGGAGATACTACCGCCTGGGAAGATATTGGAAGCATAATGTACAGTATTATCTAATGGTAGATCCTACTTCCATATGGCATCACAAAAATTGTGACCAAGTCTTAGGTTGCTGATCTATCTTTCTGCCTCATTTACACACAATTGCAGTTTCAATTGCTTCTCTTCCTTTGACAACACAACATACATACAATATAATGTTTCTCACCTTTGATCTTTTTTCATTTTTGCATTTATTTATGGTTGGTATTTAAAATAAGGCCAATTCACTTCAAATATTGGCATCAAATTTTACCGGCTGGTGTACAGTAGTGTAAACACTAGTGACTCACTTAAGTTTCTGTTATTTAGCTGGAACTAATGTTGGTGTGAGTAAAAATTTTCCATTTACTTGAAATAGATTTACCGATTTATTTGTTTATTTATTTATTTATAATATACTGTAATATATTAAACACACTGCAAGTATTTTCATTAATTTATATACTTGTTTGGTGAAAAAGGGAGGCTACCACAGTCAAGGTCACTTTCCCTTTCTTGTCACTGGCAAGTGGGGAGGGGGGGATGATAGCAGCTGTGTTTATTACCGGGGTATATTGTTCTTTTACGGTATGTTAGACAGGTTTATAATACATTTGTATTATTTTAATATACCGGTATTCTTAATTTTAATCCAGCTTCCCAAACGTAAGTTTCAGTATAAAATAATTAGTGGTAGGACCTTGTGAGTGGTTTATCATGTTTCCATCACCACTCTTGACACGCTAAACCGCAATATTTAAGAGGTAAGAATTTTATATCTGGTGCTTAAGACGACCCCCTAACTTTGGGCTTATTTTTTTTATGGTTCAAATTCCGTCTTATAGGCCGAGATATACAGTACACCTCTGACCCACTAATGATACACCTCCTGTGTCTCTAAAGCACCATGGACTGCTAGAAACTTAAATTAAACAAATCTTAAATATAAATTAAATGTAAAAAATCCATATTTTTGAGCAACATTACTGCACACTCTTTGTACACAAATGTACTGTACTACACTAGACTAAAATTTTTGTCTCATGTGATGTTTATACTCAAATTTATCAATATATTACAATGATTCCAGCAATGTAATTCATATTCTGCCAAGTCTAGTCAGCGACATTTTACAAGATAAAAACCTTAAGCCTAAACTGCCTTCACCCTGGCTGTGAGGGGGGGTGGGGGTTGACGGTTGACAGCTGTCAGGTAGGGGAGATAACAAAGTGGTAGTTATCAAAACAGAAGGAGTTTTAGCTTTTCCCTTATGAAATGTGACCGTATTGACTTGGCAGTATATAATTTGCATTGTTGTAATTCTTGTAAAATATTGATTAATTTGAGTATAAACATCACATAGTTTGCAGTAGACATAAATTTTTAGTAATTAACTTATTACAGGTTTACCCTTAGGACAATTATTTCTTTTACTTTTTTCGCAATACAGTGGGGTATGCTATAACGAACGGATCCTACTACGAATATTCCTATAACGAACGGTTTTACCTATAAAATTGAGAATGCTATAACGAACGAAACTCCTACAACGAACATTGTTTAATTTTTTTTTCTAATTTATTGTTTTTTTATTACAAATATTAATGATATTCTTTATTTCAGGGGTTTAGATGCATATTTATGCACTTTTTTACAATTTTTACAATTTTATATTATATTTTTCAGTGTTAAGTGGTTGTATTTGGGGGCCTGGAACGGATTAATCCTATAACGAACGAATGCTATAACGAACAAGGTTCTAGAACCAATTAGATTCGTTATAGCATACCCCACTGTATACATTTAGATGGTGTGTGCATGTAAAGGAGTAAAAATAAATGAAGAAAGTTACATTTATCTTCCCAAAAATATGAGTTAAAAAACTTGTACACAAATGTACTACACTAGACCAAAATTTCTATCTCTTGTGCAAACTATGTGATTTTTATACTCAAATTAATTACTATCTTACAAGGATTCCAGCAATGCAATTTATATTCTGCTAAGTCTAATCAGCTACATTTTATAAGATAAAAACTTTAAGCCTAAAACTACCTTCACCCAGGCTGGGAGGGAGGGAAGTTAAGTGCCCCCTCGTAATTTTGTCCAGACTAAAGGAGGTGCCGGATCACCAGTTCCCGAATAATCGGTGGTGTACCTGTACTAACATTTATGGCTGCATGGCTACAGGCACATTCTGTACAGATTGTCAAACAGTTGTACTTTGCTCCTGACATGAGATGGGAAGTAACCATCAATCTGAATGAATGGTTGGAATTGAAAGGTTGGCCAAAAAATAACAGTTATAACGAAGTCAAAATAATGAGGATAACAAATTACACATGTTAATCAGGCTGTAATCCTTATTGCCTTCAGCATTGAGAGATAACTGTTGTATCCAAGTCTGTTTCTTTATACCTGGATATGACTGAAAAATATGAGCTCGATGATGATTAGTTTTAGCCACCATTGTCAAGGATTTTAACCCACAATCTTGCTTAATCATACATGTGTCACCTGAATCAGGTGTTAGGTCATGACAATAATAACAATGGACAGTACCTGGAAAACATAACAATGAAAGCAGCAGTAACAAGAGCCACAGCCACCAGCACTTTCCACAGCAGCTCCATGACAGAGTTACTTATGTGACGTAATCTGGTAACAAAAGTTGTTCAACATTAGGAATACTGTACACAATGGATAAGAGTATGACAAGCTTCTGGGTTTAGTATTATAATTAAATATAAACATTTTGTTTTCTCTTTCAAGGTACTGAGAAGTTCCTACAGACAAATCTTAAATTACAGTACAGTGAACCCTCGAAGATCCGGACTAAACTAGGGGACAACCTGTCTGGAAAAGCCGATTGGCCAAATCTTCCGGTGAATGTGCTAAATGTATACAAACGATAAATAATTATATGAAAAAACACCAAAAATACAGTACATATTATCCTGACTACTGGAGTTAGTTATACAGACCTTTTCCTGTGAAAAAGCTAAATTTTAAGGAACATATAACTGTACTCATTTGTACTCAAATGTACTACACTAAAGGATTAAAAAATTTAACTTTTTTGCAAAATATGTAATATCTATACAGGTACTCAAATTATTCGCTATCTTGCAAGGATTCCAGCAATGCAATTTATATTCTGCTAATTTTAGTCTAACATTTTATAAGATACAAACTTTCAGCCTAAAACTACCTTCACACTGTTTTGGGAATGCTTCTTAGGGAAACTTCTTAGCCCAGAACCTCCATTTTGTTTTTGTCAGAATCTTCCAAAATCCGGATTTACGGGTCCGGATCTTTGAGGGTTTACTGTGCTATCAAATATTGTATTCTAATTTTTGTTTTTGTCTCAGAAGTGTAAACACAGCCATTGACTCTATAGTTCCCTCAGACCATCCACATGATAATAAAAACAAAAACAAATTTAAATCATTAAAGAATCCTACAGTGAATTAAGCAGTTAATCATCATAAGTATGTTTTGGGTGAAAACAGCTTTCATCCCTAAAACTTTCATAAAAATTCACAGACCTGTTTTCCAAGCACAGTATGATTGAGAAAAAGACAAATCAAGCAGATGTCACTCCAACATCATCACCCACTATGTAAAACTCTACCACCACGTATATCATCTTGTCTACCCAAGCTCTTGTACAGTACAGTATCTGCTTTTATTGGTAAGTACTATACAGGTGCTCTTCTACTTATGAACGAGTTACGTTCCTGAGGCTTGTTTGCAAGTCCAACTTTACTCTTGTAGATACCAAACATATTGTAAAAATTGAAAAGATTATGGATATTTAGTACAGCTATACCCTTTAATACAGCCTTAAAACCTGGCTCATTCTTCTCCTCTTAGGTAACGTTTGTTCAGTCTGGAATTTTCTTCAAAATAATCCAGTCTCATCCACATTAAACACCTGTTCTGGCAGGTAACCCCCTCAGTGATGATGTTTGTATATCTGAAAGTTTGCAAGTTGAACGTTCTTAAGTTGAGGAGCACCAGTATTGAACTGTACCTTTGCTTTATCTATTATTTAACAAATAAATAATGCATTAAATGGTTTATTTGTCTTGAAATTGTATTGAAAATGGGTCTGGAACATTTTCATTTTGGGTAAAGGAACACATCCTATTTTTCCCCATGTAACTTAGTATTCGATATACTAGGCGATTTCAGTTTTTTGTAAGGGTTTTCAGAAACACATCCCTAGCCTATATCGAAGACTTAATTTGAATTTTCAGCAATATGTTCATAAGAATAAAATTAAGACCTATGACTATGTAATTGGTACATTGTAATTCAGTGCTTAAAACCACAAAGAACACTAAGCTGTCCGTCCTTAAGGTCAAAGGAGAACTGTTCATATTGTGTGACAGGTGACTGTGATCTGAAGTGGCTGAACTTGACCAAGGGCTCCCAAACCTGGGGTCATAAAGAGTCGGATATAGCTTATGAGATCACTGGGGTCACCTGGCCTTTGCAATGGTCACAAGTAATTTTTCTTAGGCCAGGTGTCAAGGGAGAAAAAGAGAATAACAGTTGATATCTTGTTAGGTCGGGACCATAAATTATGGTCAGGGTATTAATTAGTCACTTTTCTTCGGTCAGGTCATGGGAAAACAGGGGTGTGTCATGTGAAATATTTGACAACTTAAGTCCCACACTCATGCCCTCTAATAGAGCTCAAGGTGTGACTCATTACTGCTGAAATGGCAGAATTTCAGGTTAAATTTTGACACTTATGATGACATCGCAAAGTTTTCAATTAGCATATCAAAGAGAAGCACAGCAGTTAAAAATTGAGCTATCAAGGTTTTGTACAACTTGGAACCACCTACAGTATGCATGTGTGGCAACTTTTTTTTCAAAGGTGTATGCAAGAGATATCCCCGTTAGCCAGAACAATTAGTGCAGATCACTTCCGGGTAACCAGACGACTTTCTCGAACCTGGAAAATTCCTTACCCCCGGAATCTTCTCCGCGTATCTAAGCTTCAAGTCTGGCACAAACAGACACTAGCCCACATCCTCAGATGTTTCTGGGTGCAGGGGATGTTTTCTTTGAGTTTAAACTACCAGCGTCCATAAATGCAGTTCTAATGAAGTTAGTAACTCCATTTCTTTACAAAAGTAATCCAGAATATTTACTCTAAAAGTTTTGTTAAACAAATATATTTAAAAACTAAAAATCTATATACATGGGCATGAATGAAACTGTGTGTTACAGCAAAGACTGTTATTTTCCACTCACATGGAGCAGTAGAGGCTTAGTGTGTCTCATGTAACTGACCTGACCTGTCACAATGTCAGGTGGAGGAAGGGTGGGGGATTAGTGGTCTAATACAATATTACCAGTAGGGGGCACGGTTCCGCTAACCGCTAATTAGCGAAGCTAACTTTCTCGCTAGCGGATTAGCGTTTTCGCTAACTTTGTACACCATTAGCTGACCAATTAGCTTCTGCTAAATTTAGTTCCGCTAACTTTAAGTCTGCCAACAAAATGTATACATGTTTGTTCCTGTCTGTTGTAAGCGTGTGACGCAGCGACGAGTGTCTCCAGCAGCCAGTCAGGCACGCTTGGCTGACTGCGTGTTAGTACGTGTAAACGTGACAAGACATGATTTGTCGACGCCGCGCTGCAGCAGCTGAGCAGCATTGTGTAATTCCGCACTAGTATAATGTGTATGTGGTTGGTATTGCATATTTACACGGATAATGAATAAGGCCGATACGTTGTATGAAAATGCAAATTTATTATTTGTGAAATTGTGTACAGTGTACACCTTGATAAGTTGATCATCATCTGATCTTGACATGATGCTATTTGCTACCTATGCTACAGGTTGACAACCATTTATCCGAAATTCCAAAAACCGAAAAGCTCTGAAAACCTAAAGTTTTTTGTGGAGCATTTTTTTTAATGGGTATTAGCCCACCCAGGCACAGGTCACTGACCCACATCGGGGTCTGGGGGGCGAAAATGTAATAGTAATAATAATAATAATAATAATAATAATAATATTAATAATACAGTAATAATAATAATTAATCATAGTAAATAAAATTTTTAATAAAAAATACACAATAATAATAATACTGTAATAACAATAATACTGTAATAAGAAAATAATAATAATAATACTTGTAATAATAAATAAATACAAGAATGAAAAAAATGATCAAAAGTGAGAAACACGACCTAGACCTATGAATTATTATTATTATAATTATTATTATTATTATATTTTAGCCACCAGGCACCAATGTGGGTCAGTGACCTGTGCCCAGGTGGGCTGATCCCTGTTAAAAAAAAAAAAAAAAAATTCTGAAATCCGAAAAATTCCGAAAACCGAAATGCATCTGGTTCCAAGGATTTCGGATAAGGGATTGTCAACCTGTATACAGTACTATAGTTTTTGGATTCATTTAATACTTTCTGTCTTTTCATACAGTAAATAAAAAATATAAAGTGTATGTTGAAACTTGAATGTAAACTGATGTTTAATTTCATTTGTTCATTGAATTATTTGTGTACACCTTGATCATCATCTGATCTTGGCATGCTATACCTTTTTGGAAAGCTCTATGTCTAAGCTACAAGACAACATATGAAAATTTCAGCTCTCTAGGTCTGTTTTTAAGGATTTTAGAGCAAAAAAAAAGAAAAAAAGAAGAAGCTAAATTCAAAATTCATATAATAAAAGTTAACAGTTAGCGTTAGCTTCCGCTAATTTTTTTAGCTGTTTAGCGTTAGCAAAGTTAACTTTTTAGTTAGCAGATTGGCGGTTAGTGAAGCTAACTTTTCATTTAGCTGTGCCCACAAGTGCATATTACTGATCTTCTGATGGAATGTCAGGTCACCCTTTCTTGGGTGTGGGATTAGTGGGTCTCATGACCTGAAGATATCTTAAATAAAGGCAAAAGGTAAAGTATTTTTAGGGAGATTGTGATAAGTATTAATGAGCAAAGTTGTATCCCTTCAACATTCCGTAACATAACATTGTAAAATATGGAGAGAAAGCAGAAAAGTGTGGGTAATTACAGAGATGGAGTGGAAAGAAGTGGTAACATGCACCAGTGTTGCCAAGCGATAAGCTCCTCAACAGCTGATCTTTTAATTCGCATCGATGCAGTCACACAAAAAGACCCTCACTGGTTGCTTGCTGTCTTAATTCCCGTGTGTGTGTGTGTATTTTGACCTTGCCAAGCACAGTGTAGGATTTGAAGAAGTTAATGAAGATTTTGTTCAGGAGTCAGGTGGTGAGGTAACATGCCAAGATACTTCCTCAGCACACACAAACATTAACAGCACTACGAAGCCATTGTCTTATAACATTTTACATTATAATTTCTATTTTAAAATAAATTGATACATGATGACTTGACTGGGCTACATTTGCACTTAGACAACTGATCAATGAATGAACCAGGGCATATGGAGACGCATTATACATTAGTGATGTCACGAAGCTTCGAAACTGCAACCACATAAATTATCAGAACTTGTACTCAAATGTACTAAGTTAATTACTAAAATTATTATGTCTGGTGCACAATAAGGGATGTTTATACTCAAATTAATCGCTCTCTTACATTTATAAGCAAAAAAAATAACCCCCCTGCCTTTCATAATTCTTG